GGTAGCACTGGCAACTGCAGTGGAGGGAGCAGTTAGGACTTTAAACTAGGAATAGTTAGTGGTATGGGTTTTGGCAGGAAAACAGTGAAGTCCCAGTGTAGTAATATTACAAGTTCTAGGGGAACTAGAAAATAAGCAGAACGAGGTAGTTTATTGAAAAGCCAGGGACTTTGGGTGAATAAGACAGTAAGAGGTTTAGTAGAAAAACAGAAATGAGCAGGAAGGGTAAAGAGAAAGGAGAGTCTTTCAATGTTTATTATGCTAATTGCGTAGTGCTGGGAATAAGATGGACGGTTGAGATTATTTTGCTAGTGCAGGTAACATTGATGTATTTGCCTTAACTGAGACGTGGTTTAATTTCAAAAAGTCGGACATGCCTGCGGAATGTCATATTCAGGGTTTTAAATTGTTCCAAGTAGATAAAGTATCGGGAAGGGGGGTGGGTGCATTGTATGTCCGAGTCGCTTGAACTGTTGCATAAAAACGGGTTTTAAAAGTCTGAAGTAACCCACATCCCGAGTCTGTTTGGATGAATTTTCAGAGGGGCATGAAAAACTGATTTTGGGAGTGATAAAACCATCCCCCAAACTTAGAAGGGCCCAAGGGAGATACTATGGAGGAAATTGTTAAGGCCAAAAAGGCACGTAATGTAGTAATTCTAGGAGACTTTAACTTTAGTCATATTGATTGGAATTTTTTGGGACTGGGAATTTAGAATCATACGATTTCTTAGAAGTAGTTCAGGATTGTTTTTGAAGCAGTTTGTGACAGAACCTACAAGGGGAAATAACCTGCTTGACTTAGTTATGGCAAACAATGAATCCCTTGTTAATAATTTAGAAATTTCAGAGGAACTGGGTGCTAGCGACCACAAATCAATTACATTTAGCATTGAATGGAAGTACGATAGTAGCGATAACTTAGTAACAGTCCCAGATTTTCCCCTTAGCAGATTACGATGGGCTTAGAGAAACACTTATCATCTGTGACTTGGGGAAAACGAAGTGAGCTATCAATATGACAGTTTTCTGAAAAACTATACATGCTGCTCAAAGAACTTTTATCCCATATAAAGAAATTAGATCAAATAGAAAGACCCAAAATGGATAAAATAATAGGCTAAATATCTACTAGGGCATAAGAAAGGAATTTATGGGCCCGAAACAAAAGAGGTGAGGGTCATTTTAAAGAATCAGTATTTTTGACATTAAGAGGGACATTAAAAAGGGGATAAGAAAAAGCTAAAAGGGACTATGAAATTAAAGTGCTAGGGATTCTAAAACTAACCCAAAAAGTTTTTTCCAGGTCTATAGAACAAAAGTTAGAGATAAGATAGGTCCCCTTAAAAATAACTATGGCACCTTATGACAAAGAGAATGAAATGTGCTCGATTTTTAATAATTATTTTCTCTCAGTTTTACACAGGAAGACACTAACAATATTTCAGTAATTAATTTTTTATAGTGGGCTAGGGAAAAAGATAAAATTATGTAACATCACAGTCACTAGTGAAATGGTTGTGAAGCAGATAGACAGACTGAAGCATAATAAGTCGCCCGGTCCTGATGAGGTTTTTTCAAGGGTTCTTAAGGAATGCAAAACGGAACTCTTTGTACCATTAACTAATATTTTTAATTTATCTCTTCAAACAGGTGTAGTGTCTGATATATGGAAGATGGCTAATGTAATTCCTATTTTTAAAACAGGGAACAAGTCGTTACCGTCAAATTACCGCCCAATAAGCCTGACCTCAATTGTAGGCAAATTACTAGTCAATTATAGCTGAGATAAGAAGCCATCTCGATAAGCATAGCTTGATTAATGATACTCAGCATGAATTCACAAGAGGCCGGTCTTGTCTAACTAATTTATTAACTTTCTTCAGTAAAGCTTTTGAGGCTGTTGACCACGATAAAGAATTTGATATTATTTACTTAGATTTTAGTAAGGCTTTTGATACAGTTCCGCACCATAGACTGTTAAAGAAAGTGGCAGCTCATGGCATTGGGGAAAAGTGCTCTCGTGGATCGAGTCATGGCTCACTGACAGGAAGCAGAGAGTGTCCATAAATGGGGTTAAATCCGAGTGGGGATCAGTAACAAGTGGCGTTCCACAGGGATCAGTCTTGGGCCCGTTGTTGTTTATAATATATATCAATGATCTTGATGAGGGAATTACTAGTGATATGAGCAAATTCGCCGATGACACAAAGATAGGTAGGATAATTGATTCAAACGTAGATGTTATGGAACTTCAGGAGGATTTAAACAAACTCTATTCTTGGTCAGAAAAGTGGCAGATGCAGTTCAATGTAGATAAATGCAAGGTTCTGAAGCTTGGGAGTGCCCATAACCCTAGTACTTATAAGTTAAATGAAGTAGAACTTAGCCATACAGATTGCGAAAAGGACTTGGGGGTTATGGTGAGCAGCAACCTTAAACCAAGACAGCAATGCCTAAGCGTACGTAATAAGGCAAATAGATTACTGGGATTTATATCAAGAAGTGTAAGCAACAGAAGTCCAGAGGTCATACTGCAGCTTTATACATCATTAGTAAGGCCTCACCTAGATTATGCAGCTCAGTTCTGGTCTCCATATTACAGAATGTACATAAATTCGTTAGAAAACATTCAGCGTAGGATGACTAAATTAATACATAGCATTAGAAATCTTCCTTATGAAGAAAGATTGAAGACTCTTAAGTTACATTCACTTGTTAGACGAAGAATGAGGGGAGACCTGATCGAAGTGTGTAAGTGGAAGATAGGTATTAATAAAGGGGATATTAATAAGGTCTTGAGGATGTCTCTCCAAGAGAGAACCCGCAGTAATGGATTTAAATTAGATAAGTTTAGATTTAGAAAGGACATAGGAAAGTATTGGTTTGGAAATAGGGTAGTTGATGAGTGGAACAGTCTACCTAGTTGGGTTATTGAGGCTGGGACTTTGGGTAGTTTCAAATTTAGGTTGGATAAGTACATGAGTGGGAGGGGTTGGATCTGAGTGGGACTTTCACATCAGAGCTTATTTCTTGGGTGGCACTGAAAATTGGGTTGGGCAAATGTTTTGTTAGTGGGATGAATTGTAAAGGACCTGCCTAGTATGGGCCAACAGGCCTCCTGCAGTGTTCCTCCTTTCTTATGTTCTTATGTTCTTATGTATATATTCTGGCTTCCTTCCCTTCTCGCTTCAGTGTGACTTGTTAATGGCCCAGGTCAGACCAAAACGTTATCATAGGTTTTAGCCTCCTAAGTTCTGGTTATTATACTATGTATTCATTTTCCTATAAGAGAAATGATAGAATTAAAACACCAGCTGCAGGCTCTACATTGAAACTTGATGACAAGGATAACACTAGTATCGATCCAGCACTTTTGTTTCAGTATCTAATGTTGTGGCAAGCAATGGTGATATGAATCTTCAAGAGGCACTGCCATGTGACCTTTGCGCTTACCCAGCATCTCTCTCTCTGAGTCCTCAACAGTGCTCCGGAAGACCCAGGAGTCTTGGCTCGCACACTGTATCAGTGAACATGTTACTATGGCTAGCCATGTAACACCAAGTAACAGCGCACTCAGCTCGCATACTGAGTGTCCGTGATTCGATCACCGGCCGGTTGGGAACGTTGGGTACGTTTCCTTACACCTGCTGCCCCTGTTCACCTAGCAGTAAGTAGGTATCGGGGTGTTAGGCGACTGTTGAGGGTGGCATCCTAGGGGGTGATATACCTCAGATAGTACTGGGATTTGAAATGAGCTGAGGTAGGATAACATCTCTTAGCCTGTAAGACTGATCTTTGTAAAAATAAAAAGAGAGCAGTGAACGCAATAAGTCGCAGGAGCGCATATACAGGCATGAGAAGAAACAAAGAAATATTGTACATATGTACACATCGTACCTGGAGTTTACCTGGAGAGGGTTTCGGGGGTCAACGGGCCCGCGGCCTGGTCTCAGCCCAGGCCTCGTGGTGGATCAGGGTCTGATCAACCAGGCTGTTACTGTAGGCTGCACGTAATATTGTACAATATGTACATACTGTACAAATGAAGTCTGAGAATACTGAAATTAATAAATATGTTGAATTCAGTAAGCAAGCAGAGAAGAATATGAATGAAGACATACAGACATGTCAAATTATTTTAGTGGAAAAGAAAACAGCAAAACAACAAATTCATCAAAATAGCCGAGCAGATGAGTATTGTGAAGAGAACCAGGTAGTTCAGACAGGTTCCCCATGATATTCAAATAACACATCGTCTGATCGTATAAAAGAACAAGAATTTTTTTTTTTCAACAAGTCGGCCGTCTCCCACCGAGGCAGGGTGACCCAAAAAAGGAAGAAAATCACCAAAAAGAAAATACTTTCATCATCATTCAACACTTTCACCTCACTCACACATTATCACTGTTTTTGCAGAGGTGCTCAGAATACAACAGTCTAGAAGCATACACATATAAAGATACACAACATATCCCTCCAAACTGCCAATATCCCAAACCCCTCCTTTAAAGTGCAGGCATTGTACTTCCCATTTCCAGGACTCAAGTCCGACTACATGAAAATAACCGGTTTCCATGAATCCCTTCACTAAATATTACCCTGCTCACACTCCAACAGATCGTCAGGTCCCAAGTACTATTCGTCTCCATTCACTCCTATCTAACACGCTCACGCACGCTTGCTGGAAGTCCAAGCCCCTTGCCCACAAAACCTCCTTTACCCCCTCTCTCCAACCCTTTCGAGGACGACCCCTACCCCGCCTTCCTTCCCCTATAGATTTATATGCTTTCCATGTCATTCTTTGATCCATTCTCTCTAAATGACCAAACCACCTCAACAACCCCTCTTCTGCCCTCTGACTAGTACTTTTATTAACTCCACACCTTTTCCTAATTTCCACACTCCGAATTTTCTGCATAATATTCACACCACACATTGCCCTTAAACAGGACATCTCCATATAATTTCAAAGGCAGCCTACATAGTGTTATGTCTGACCTGCGGGGCAGAGCCGCTGGGTATCCACTGGTAGACTGCTACTGGGTTTGTCAGGTGAAACCACTTGATGACGAGGCCTGCGCTGTCGCCTTCCTCAAGAACGAAGGGACAGTCAAGCACAATGTCGTTCACGGTGCCGTTCTCAAACACCTTCAGCCCTGGCGGCTCCTCCACCTGGATGCTCTCCGTCCCACCTGTACATACAATTAACATTTAGTAGACACAATTAACATTTACTTAGTTGCTATTTACTGTACTGAGTGGGAGACACTTGCTTATGTGTACTAAAGGGAAACCTCAGGTCTGGAAAGACTTCATTTTAGGTTTATTATAACTAATATGAGAGCTCTTGGATTATTTCTTGGCAGAAGCTGGACAATATATATGTTTTATGTTTGTTAAGATAAGATTTCGTTCGATTTTTTAACCCCGGAGGGTTAGCCACCCAGGATAACCCAAGAAAGTCAGTGCGTCATCGAGGACTGTCTAACTTATTTCTATTGGGGTCCTTAATCTTGTCCCCCAGGATGCGACCCACACCAGTCGACTAACACCCAGGTACCTATTTGTTGCTAGGTGAACAGGACAACAGGTGTAAGGAAACGTGTTGAAATGTTTCCACCCGCCGGGAATCGAACCCGAGCCCTCCGTGTGTGAAGCGGAGCTTTAGCCACCAGGAACCCCCCCCCCAAAAAAACCCCCAAAAGGGACACCCTACCCCCCTTCCCCCCAAATTTTTAAAATTTTTTTTCTTTACCCAAAACCCAAAAATAAAAAAAAAAAAAAAATTTTTGGAAAATTTTTTAAAAAACCCAATTTTAACCAACCCCAAAAAATTTAAAAATTGAAACAACACCCAAAAAAAAAAGGACCAATAGGGGTTTTACCGGGGGGGAAAAGGGGTTTACCAACGGAAAGGGTTTGTGGGGAAACCACGAAGAGGGGCCCCCCAAAAAAGAAAAAATCAAACTAGTTTTGGGGGGAAAAAAAAAAATTCAGGGGCCCCCCACCAGCCCCGACCGCAACAAAAAAAACACAAAAAAAAATTGCTTTTTAAAGATAAAAGGGGGAAAAAAAAAAAATTTACTAAAGGAAATATAAAAAAATTTTTTTTTAAAAAAAAAAAAAAAACGGAAAAATTTTAAAAAGGGGAAAAAAAAATTTTTAGGAAAAAAAAACCAAAAAACCCCATTCCCCCCCAGGAAAAAAAAAAATTGGACAAAAAATTTAATTTACCCAATTTTCCCCCAGGTCCCCCCCAAAAAAAAAAAAGGTTAAAAAAAGGGAAAAAAAGGGGAAAAGGAAACCACCCAAAAAAAAGGCCCCCGGGGAAAAAAAAACCCCCCCCCGGGGGAAATAAAAAAAAAAAAAAAAAATTAGGAAAGAAAGCACGTTTTTGAAATTAATTAAAAAAAATAAAACACCCAAATTTAAATTTTAGGGATAAAAAAAAACCCACCCTTTTAAGGCAAACACCAAAAAAAACAATTTGGGGAACAACATTTAACCCAATTTTTTAAGAAAGCCAAAAAAATTTAAAATTCCCAGATTCAAAAAACAGATGCCCCACAGAAAACCACAAAAAAAAGCCCCAAAAGGGGGGCCCCAAAAACCCAAGCCCCCGTTTACCAGAACCATTAAAAAAACCCAAACCCCCCGGGGGGTCCCAGGGTACCCTAAACCAGATTCCCCGAGTAAAATGACCCTTCCCCAAAAAAAAACCCGCTTCAGAAACCCCCATTTTTCCAGTAAACTTAATACCCAGGACCACTCTTAATGAGCAAATCTTCCTTAGAAAAAAAAAAATTTTGGCTTATGAACCACAAATATAACTCTGCTAAGTCAACAGATACTCAGGTAAGTGCAGCACATTCACTCTACTAAGAGACACAGCTACTCTGGCTGAATAAGCTGACAAAACTCTTTACTCTACGTTAGACGACACTCTACTCTGTTCTGATCGAAAATCTAATTTCATGCATATTGAGATCACATCTACTCTGGCTAATGACAAACACTAACAATCTGGCCCTCTATAGACATTAACTCAACCTTACTCGCAAACATCACTCGGCTTTGTTGCAGAAATCACACAACATTGCCTTAAACAGGAACATCTACGCTAAAATTTCAAACACTACATAGTGTTATGCTGACGGGAAACACACCTGTTACTGAGAACATCTCTGGTTGAGTGAACACGATGACAGGCTCCTGGCTTACGACAGAAACATTAGGACAGTAACACAATCTACACTGGCTTACAAACATCTAGCTCTGGCAGGAGACACTCACCGATGCTTATGCATGAAACAATTACTTTAGTAGACACAATTAACATCTACTTAGTGGCGAAAATTACTTGTTACTGAGGAACAAACTCTAGGATAACTAAAGAAACATCATCGTACTGGAAAACTTCATACCCTGGTTTATTATAAACAATACTAGCTACTGAGATATTATCGACGAAGTGGACAATATATTGTTAAATGAAGAAAATTCGTCATTTTAAGGAGTACACACACCAGGATAACTGCCGAAAAATCAGTGCGTATGAGACAACTTTTCTATTGGGCTTAACTGCCACGATGCAACCCACATGACAAACACCATACTATGGTTGTATGAACAGAAACAGTAAAATAACTGTTAAATGTTCCACGAAACCACAGCCTGTGTGTAAGTGAGACAGACACTACTCTGGCTGAAATAGTACGAAACATTAAAATTAAAACAATATTACTGAACGAATACATTCGTACTCTGAATTTATATGACAGAAACTCTTCACTTATTCCATATTAAGAAACATTAATCTTTAGTGAGACAAAACCGACATAACAGTTAAGAGAACACATCTAAAGCCAGGACTTAAGGTGACAAACATGTATCTGCACTGAAAACCATCATACCACATGGCTACTGCAGAAACGAGTCTAGATTGATTGGATTGTACTGACGAAAATGTACTCTGGTACATGAGGTATTACACAACCATGCTACAAGTCGAAGAGGCTACTCAGGTAGTGACGAACATTACCATGTTACTGAGACATGATGTACCTTACGACGAAACACAAGCTCTCAGAAGAGTAGGACAACAAACTGGTTTACATGATGTACATCTACCAATCTGTACGCTAGTGACAAACACACAAGCGACTTACTGACGAAAAGTTACTCCTGCCCTTGATACCATGTACATTAATACATGAGTACATTACTGAGAAACATCTATCTCTTAGAGAGATACATCTATCTGGCTTATGATGAAACATTACTCTGGCTAAGTGAGGACACATCTACTCTGGCTAATGAGAACATCTACTCTGGCTATGAGAAACATTACTCTGCTTACTGACGAAACATCTACTCTGGCGTTAGTGAGACACATCTACTCTGGCTTACTGATGAAACATCTACTCTGGCTTAGTGAGACACATCTACTCTGGCTTACTGACGAAACATCTACTCTGGCTTAGTGAGACACATCTACTCTGGCTTACTGACGAAACATCTATTCTGGCTTACTGACGAAACATCTACTCTGGCTTAGTGGGACACATCTAATCTGACTAACTGACGAAACATCTACTCTGGCTTACTAACGAAACATCTACTCTGGCTTACTGACGAAACATCTACTCTCGCTTACTGACGAAACATCTACTCTGGCTTAGTGAGACACATCTACTCTGGCTTACTGACGAAACATCTACTCTGGCTTAGTGAGACACATCTACTCTGGCTTAACTGACGAAACATCTACTCTGGCTTATGACGAAACATCACTCTGGCTTATGACGAAAACTATCTGGCTTACTGACGAAACATCTACTACTGGCTTAGTGAGACACATCAATCTGACTATATGACGAAACACTACTCTGGCTTACTAACGAAACATACTACTCTGGCTTATGAGAACACATACTTATATCTGGCTAACAACGAAACATCTACTTGGCTTTACTGAGAACATCTACATTCTTCCTGTCTTATCTACGAAACTACTACTCTGGCCATACCCTACGAAACATATAGTTCCTGGACCAATTTACTAACGGTAAACACTACTCTCCTAAAGAGACACATCCTACTCTGGCATTCACCCTACGAAACACTACTTGCTCCTAGCGAAACACTACTCCTTAATGGGAACACTACTCTGTTACGACACGAAACGTCTACTCTGGCTTACTGACGACACATCTACTCTGGCTTACTGACGAAACATCTATTCTGACTTACTGACGAAACATCTACTCTGGCTTAGTGGGACACATCTAATCTGGTTTACTGACGAAACATCTACTCTGGCTTAGTGGGACACATCTAATCTGGCTTACTGACGAAACGTCTACTCTGACTTAATGGGATACATCTACTCTGGCTTACTGATGAAACATCTACTCTGGCTTAGTGAGACACATCTACTCTGGCTTACTGATGAAACATCTACTCTGGCTTAGTGAGACACATCTACTCTGGCTTACTGACGAAACGTCTACTCTGGCTTAGTGACGAAACATCTACTCTGGCTTACTAACGAAACATCTATTCTGGCTTACTGACGAAACATCTACTCTGGCTTAGTGGGACACATCTAATCTGACTAACTGACGAAACATCTACTCTGGTTTACTAACGAAACATCTACTCTGGCTTAGTGGGACACATCTAATCTGGCTAACTGACGAAACATCTACTCTGGTTTACTGAGACACATCTACACTTCTTCCTAGTTTCTTAGAAAGACACATAGCTCCTAAGGAAGACACATAGTTCCTAAGGAAGACACATAGTTCCTAAGGAAGACACATAGCTCCTAAAGAAGACACAGTTCCTAATTAAGGCATACAGCCCCTAGGGAAGACACAGCTCCTAAGGAAGACACATAGCTCCTAAGGAAGACACATAACTCCTAAGAAGACACATAACTCCTAAGAAGACATAGCTCCTAAGGAAGACACATAACTCCTAAGAAGACACATAGCTCCTAAGGAAGACACAGCTCCTAAGGAAGACACACAGCTCCCAAAGAAGATACGTAGCTCCTAAGGAAGACACATAGCTCCTAAGGAAGACACATAGCTTCTAAGGAAGACACGTAGCTCTTAAGGAAGATACATAGCTCCTAAGGAAGACAAGTAGCTCCTAAGGAAGACACATAGCTCCAAAGGTAGACACG